GGGGACGGGCCTGCGCCGTTTCCCTTCCAGCTGGGAAGGAGGAAGCGCGGGGCTTCTCCCTGGGGCGGGCAGCGGGGGCGGCTGTGTCCCGCGAAGAGCAGCCCCGGCGGGTGGCGTCCCTCGGGTGGACCCCTGGCCGAGGGGTGGGCTTGAAAGAGGGGCTGCCTCTGCCCCTTCTGAGTTGGGGACAGCCCCCACCGGCGGCGGTGCCACACGGCGAACAGCCTCGGAGGCGCGCGGGAAACGCATTCCGAGTGCCTGGAGGTGACCCAGGAGGCAAAAGCGATGTCAGTTGCACGGTGGCAGCCGTGGGGCGGTGTGTGCGTAAGGAGGATACAGTGCTCCCACAATGAGAACGACAAAAAGCACTGTTGTTTAAAAATTTTAAAAAATCTGGAAGCTACTCCTAAAAAACATATTGTATGCAGTAGCGCTGTTTATACGTACACTTGAACATCTGTTGCTTTTTGTCATGTAAAACATGACTTACCCAAAAATCAAGTGTTAGCAAGTCAAGGTGCTCAATCTGAAGGGATTAATGGTCTATGTTTTTTTTTTGTCACAGGAGCAAGAAAATTGTTGATTATTCTCAGTTTGGGGATTTGGAAGATGATGGTAAGTGGCTGTTAACTATTTTCACTGGAAGATATCTGGGCACGCTGTTAAATATCCTAATTCAACAAGAATATGATGGCTGTAAGCCAGAGTATAAAAACAGTGTGTCAGGAAATGGTGAATACGTTGTGTCTTGTTGCAGGAAAATCTACTTCTCCCCCTTCCTCTGTTTTCAGTGGTAATTGGTTGCTCTAGGTCCTCCTGATTACCAGTTCACAGGATTCTAAATCAGAATATAAAGGAGGTGTGAATCATCTGTATGTAGATCTAACATTTCTCCTACAGCTCTGTATCTGATGGGTTTTGTGTAAAGACATAGCAGTCAAATTCTGAGTTTCATTGATAAGAAACATAGAATCATTAAGGTTGGAAAAGACCTCCAAGATCATCAAGTCCAACTGTTAACCTAACAATGCCAAGTCCACCACTAAACCATGTCCCTAAGCACCTCGTCTACCCATCTTTTAAATACCTCCAGGGATGGGGACTCAACCACTTCCCTGGGCAGCCTGTTCCAATGCTGATAAGCCTTTCGGGGAAGAAATTTTTCCTAATGTCCAATCCAAACCTCCCCTGGCACAACTTGAGGCCATTTCCTCTCCTCCTATTGCTTGTCACTTGGCAGAAGAGACCAACCCCCGCCTCGCTACAGCCTCCTGTCAGGGAGTTGCAGAGAGCAATAAGGTCTCCTTTCAGCCTCCTCTTCTCCAGACTAAACAACTCCAGTTCCCTCGGCCGCTCCTCACAGGGCTTGTGCTCCAGACCCCTCACCAGCTTTGTTGCCCTTCTCTGGACATGCTCCAGTGCCTCAATGTCATGAACTGAGGGGCCCAAAACTGAACACAGTATCTGAAGTGCGGCCTCACCAGTGAGGAGTACAGAGGCACAATCGCTTCCCTTCTCCTGCTGGCCACACTACATTTTTTAAACAATATTCCTGATACAAGCCAGGATGCTACTGGCCTTCTTGGCCACCTAGGCACACTGCTGGGTCATATTCAGCTGGCTATCGACCAACACCCCCAGCATCTCTTTCCCAAGCCTGTAGCATTGCATGTAGTTGTTGTAACCCAAGTGCAGGACCTGGTACTTGGCCTTGTAGAACCTCATGCAGTTGACCTTGGCTCATTGATCCAGCTCTCCAGGTCCCTCTGCAGAGCCTTTCTACCTTTGAGCAGATCAGCGTTCCAGCTCAACTTCATGTCAGCTGCAAACTTACTGAGGGCACATTCAATCCCTTCGTCCAGGTCATTGATAAAGGTACTAAACAGAACTGGCCCCAGAACTGAGCCCTGGGGGACACCGCTTGTGACCGGCTGCCAACTGGATTGAGCTCTGTTCACCACAACACTCTGGGCCTGGCCAACTGTGTCAAAGGCTTTGCTGAAGTCCAGGTAGACAACATCCACAGCCTTTCCCTCATCAACCAGGTGGGTCACCTGTTCGTAGAAGGAAATCAAGTTGGTTAGGCAAGACCTGCCTCTCATGAACCCATGCTGGCTGTGCCTGATCCCTGCACATGCCTGGTGAGCACACTCAGGATGAACTGCTCCATAACCTTTCCTGGTACTGAGGTCAGGCTGACAGGCCTGTAGTTCCCCGGATCCTCCTTCCGGCCCTTCTTGTAGATGGGAGTCATGTTGGCAAGCTTCCAGTCATCTGGGACCTCCCCTATTAACCAGAACTGCTGGTAAATGATGGAGAGTGGCTT